CATGCATACATTGTATTGTTAGCTAGCATATTAAGTTACTTGTGGTAGTCTGAACAGTAGGTTGAGCTATGGCTTTTGATCTGCTTGTGCAAGGCTACAATGATGCAAGTGACTATTATTACATGCCTTCTTATTTGTTTGTTAGTTTGTTTGTATGCATTTTAATACGTTATGTTTTACATGCATGCATTGTATTGTTTTCTAGCATATTAAGTTACTTGTGGTAGTCTGAACAGTAGGTTGAGTTTAGGCTTTTGATCAAGGCTATCCTGATGCAAGTGACAATTATCTCTATTTTATGCTTTATATATACAAGCTTGTATTATAACAGTATGAAATCAATATTTAGGTACATGTCGTAATAAACAATGGCGTCGAGGTTGTATCATACTGGCATCCGCTTTAGTACTCACAATTCATTCAGGATGCAAACTGTTCTATCACTCAATAGGAATCTGAGAAATACTGCATCACATGCATTCTTTGTCAGAAGGACCAAAACTAATAATATACCAGCATACCTTGATTACAAAGGTGGTGGAACAAGAATGTTGACCATAGTTAGAAATATCGATGGAGAAACAGAGGTATCCAATGGTGGTAGGAGGGTCCAGTTGTTTGATTTTGATGCAGAACAGGATGATGAAGATCATTGAACTATAGCTTATTAGTACTATAGTGTTGTTCTAGTTTTTAGTTCTAGTTTTTTCACACTCAGGTTGTCATAACTAGTGGGTGAGGTTCATCATTATCCTCGCCTCTTGCTTCCGAAATGAGTCTATTTAACTAGGTGGATGTAGACATTAAGGCCATAGATTGACATTTTTGACATTTCAATAAAAATAAAAAAATAAATGTATTCTTAGCATTGCAAGTTATTTTTTGTAAGATTTTGCGCAAGGCTATACCCTGATGCAAGTGCCTTGCTTGTGTTATGTATTATAACAGTATTAGTTTCAGTAATCAGGTTATTTGTGGTAGGTTGCATGAGCTTTAATTTGACTTCAATGTACTTGTGTAAGGCTGAACCTGAAGCAAGTTCTTCATTTTGTGTCTTGTTGTCAGTGTTGTTAGCAGTAAGTTACTTGTGATAATATGAAGATTACAGCTTATAAGCTAAAGAATTCCAAGGCTATAAATCATGCATGCAAGTTGATCCATCATTATTATTTTTAACACAAATAATATATCAATAAGCATGCAGTACAGAGATTGCATAATAATTGTCCATGGCAAGCACCATGCAGTTATATAGACTATGGTTTATTCTTGACACACTAATACAGTACACTATATACAGAATTTCAATGGAATAGGAACTGCTACAAAAACACTTTCATCATTTAAAGTAGTCAGACAGCTTGCACATTTTCCAGCAATGCGTAAAACAGGGATAACAGAACATAATGATGTTTCTCTTGTCAAATTTGCACAGACAGTTGCAGATATTCCATAAAAACTATGTTGATGATGATATTGCATCCAATGAACATAAGCAAAGGTGTAATGCACGATTTTTGATAATTGAGTTTGATTTTCAATTATAGTAACACTATGGCAAAAGTAATATTCAACTTTGCCTATGTTAGGCCTACTATGTTCGAATTGATGGATATTGCGTCCAAAGTTTGGCCAATTTGCAAATATAACTGAAGAAGACTTAGCTGAACGACCGTGTAGTGTTGAACCCAGTATCTCACTCCCAATACGAATCCTGCCATGGCAAACATAAAAAGGGGACACATACACTACTGCACAACCTGGATTTAATTGTTCATACAAATGAACTATGTCAACAGTCTCAGATGATGTAAATACTTGCTCTTTTCCTAAATCAAGTAGTTGTATAAGTCCTTGCGTATCACTATATTTGAATGGATATAATTCCAAAGGCCCATAGTGTAACTTCAAAATATTGTGTAGTTCACTCTCACTTTCACATCGTAATGTATATGTATTTTCAGTAGACAGTGATACTGGCAAAAATTTTTTAAAATCCTCATCTTCAATTGTTTTATTTTGAGACAATAGGACTTGTTTCCGAATAAAGGTACGAAAAAACTGAATCTCAACACTTTTTTTATTGGTTGGCATTGAACCTAAAATTCCATTAAATCTTTCAAAAGAAAAACACCAGGTAGCATGTGCTGGACCAAAGTCCAGAAGAGTTTCCTTTAAATGCAGATGGAGATGCATGTTTGGAGTACAGCAATCAGATCCATATAATTCGCTAACCTTCTTACAAAAAGTTAGCAGTAAACTATCTGCTGTATTTATATCAGAGAGTGTTAGCATTCGTTGCGATAGAATTGCACATGCTCTTACATAAAGAAGCCAACATCTATAGTCTTCGTTAGGTAAAATACTTTTTAAAACAATAGGAGAATAAACTGTTGTCCAAGTAGACCATTGAGCAGCTTTAAAACTTAAATAATTGGATGACATATTTAAAGGAAGTCGGCCAATATTGCTTGGGACTGTAAAGGTTGATGTAAGTTTATCTATTGATAGCAAATGTTGCTTTGTGATAATTCCTTTTTCTATCCAAGTACCAAATATACGCTTTGATGTTCCTAAAAAGAGGTTGTGCATGATGTCAATTGCCACAAATTGAATTGGGTCAAAATAAGGTAGCTTTAAGAGTGCACATGGTCGAACTCCCAACAATGATTCCATTTTTTTTGTTTCAGATTTAGTTTTACATGATTCTACTTTCAAACAGTCAGAGCGATGTTTGCTAGCTGTCCGAGGATTCCACAAAGATCTCTCATAACCAGAATAATTTACAACTCCTGACGATGAGTGATCAAATTCCTTGTAGCACTTGTTACACCCCAAACGCGCATTATGACCCAAAAAACCTGCTACTTTTCTTGTTGCTGGAATGTCACAGCTAATGCATGACAGCAATGTCCTTATATTTACAGATATTCCATTAGAAGTAAGTACTTGAATACCTTCATTATAGCACTTAGATAGTTCCTCAGTAAGTGGGAGTAAATATGAGTCAATCGATAAATTTGGTTCATGTGGACCTGGCATGACACCAACTAAAACAATATTTTCTTCCTTATATCTCTGTTCTCGTGGTAAGTTTTGAATTACCAAATAAATTGCACCAACTGAATATTGTGTATGTTTGAATGGCTGAAACCAGTCAACATTTAATGTCAGCATGTAGCAATATGGTGTTGATAAAAAACCTTCACGAAATTTTTTCCAGACAGAGCCATCATAAATATCTGCAAAGTATTCAGAAGGAATAGTAGACTCTCTTTGTCTCCATTCCTCACATGAACTTAAAAAACCAGGTCTCATTGCTAAACGACGTAGTGACAAATGTAATGGATAATAGGGATACGTTAAGAAAGGCACAAGACAATTTTTTTGGACAGTTTTTAGCAGAAGTGTATTGCAGGGTCCTCTTCTTGATGGTTGAGTATGATTCGGATATTTCACATAACAGCATTGTTT